CGCTTTCGTTATGGCTGCTCTGATGTGTTAGTAATTAAAATATTTGAAGTCAGAATCACTCCTAGAAGCACTGAAATCATTCACTTTTTAAAAATTTCTGATTTGTTTCTATTTCTAATAAAATTTTTCTGCCTTATTTAGATGGACCCTGTTGCACAGAGTTATGTTCTGTGCTGCTTGTATCTTATCCTGTCATACTTTTATTTTCTGGGCAAAATTTTATTTTTTTAAAGTTACTTTTGCTGTGCTTAGAGAAAATTCACTCTGGCCTTCTCCTGAAGTACTTGGTCTTTATTTCTTCGGCAAATGGGAGAGAAGAGAAAATATTTTAGCAGGAATTCTTGCTCAAAGTCTGCAGCCTGTGAAGACACAAACCTTCTGTGCCAGTATGATCAGCATGAAAAGTTTACAGACAACAAAAAGCAACGGAAAAAGAAAATCAAATGTTAACTGTTGTGGAAGCTGCTCTTTTTATCTTGCTTGGCTTTCCTGTTCTCACTCACTTTTCATTTTCTCAACAATCTCTTCTAATACAGGAACAGACTATAACTACTATGAAGAAACATTATGGTGATAAAATGAGGAGTGTGAAAGCCCAGTTAGAAGCTTACCAAGAGCTGATGAATAAGAGGAGCACGCACTGGCAAGTTACTATTAAGGTACCCAGGAAGTACTGTTTTTATGTGACAATAAGAACCACAGGTACTTCTAGAGGTTGTAGAAGCAGCCTGTATAAGTCATCTTTTCTTTTTTGGGAAGGACAGTCAAATGAAGACAAAACAATTTGTGAAATTACTACAGAATCATGCAGATGGTTTTCTGGTGAGGGTTTTCCTCCTTCAGGAGATGATAGTACCTTAAATAGTATGTTTTCAAAACATTTTTCACAGCTTAGACATCTTCACTGCTCTGAGGAGAGCTCAGTGTGGCGTTCCCCCTTACTGTCCATGCTTGCATACTTGAAAATAGCTGGGTTTTGTAATGGAAAAAAATATGTAAAGAAATTCATGGAATATTTAGCGTGGCTAATGCTTGCTGGTGGTGAACAAGGTTTATCCCGTTCCTCCTTCTTTTCCATGGGGAAAAAAAGTTTCTGTATATTCAAGCCTTTCAAGTCTTTGGAATAAAACCACCATCTATACATTCATTGTAAGGCAGTCAGTTGTTTTTTGTGCTAGATCCTCATGTCTTGTCAGCCTGGTCCACTCATTATGATTTCTCAAAATGTATGGCGCAGAAAAAAATATAACAGCCTTTTTGCAAAATGAAGCCTTGGCATAGAAATTCTGATCCTTTTGCCATATTCTACCACTTTCAGAATCTGAGGGAAAGGAACAGACAGCTGAGCCAAGATAAGGAAGAACTTCTTCACCAAATAAATCATCAAACAGAGAAATGGAAAGAAGAAAAGGTACACAAAGCTAGTTTGGTTTTCTTTTGACAGTAAGGCAGCATTCTTATTTCCATTTCTGATGGCTGTAGTTCTCAAGAGCCTGGAGGACCTCGGAATTGCAGTATCTGCTTTTAAATACATATTTCTAGATCAGCGAGGACTGAATTGTCTGTGCTGCTTAGGCACCTGTTTTCTAATTTCAGAGTGCCCAGATAACTTTTGCAAGACTGAGGCCTTTAAACACCGGTGAAAATACCGCACATTGTTTTGTCATACTACATTATTTTTTTCCTGCTAAAAATCATAAGAGTGTAAATTTCTCTCTCATTTCACACTTCCTTTCTTTTGCATAGTTGTAAAATCACACTAAAGCACATTGTTTACTTAAGATTCCATGGTTTATTTTAGAAATAAACAAGAATTTCACCTGATCTGAGCTACTACAGTGCTGCAATGCAACGGATCAACCTAACCAGCAAACTGTCTGGCATGGTAGTCACTAGGAAAAAGGGATGTGCCTAAAATTCCTCAGAGCTTGCAAAATTTTTTTCCAACAATGCAACTTTAGTTTACTAAAGATCTGAGATGACTGCAGGAGTGGCAAAAGAAAGCAGCAAGTGTTAAAAATGAGTAGCTGCTGCAGTGGGTTAAAACCACAATCATTTGTATCCTACCCTTCATCTTGGCTCAGCTGTGCTGCAGCCACATTTTCAGCCGATTTAGTAATTCTTAAACTTTGTTCTGTATTGAGCCATTATCAGATGTTCCTGTTTATGACAGAAAGGAAAGAATTGTTGAGGGTGGGTAGGAGGGTGAAAAATGGGGAAAAAAAGACAATTAGGTCAAAACAAAAACTATATATTGCAAGTTCGTAATAATTCTGTTAATCTCTCTTATTTATGATTGTAACAATTCTGTTACACTAAAAAAGAGAGGGAAGGATCTATTTGATTTGAAGAGATCCTGAGGATATAACACTACTAACTGGCATGCGTACCAAAGGCGGTTAATACCTTTGCAGAGATCTAGGGTCCTGACTTTTTTCACTACGTTAATATAACTGCATGGAGTTTAACAGAGTAAGCCTTCATTTTTACTTCAGTGAGCAGAACAATAAGGTTATGTTTTATTCAGCAGTTATGTGATACTCAAAGTTGTGTAACGTTCAACAAGGATTATGTTTTTAAAGAATAAAATAGATTGCTAGGATTACTATCAATAATCCTTTACTGGTATGCCTAGTACGCTCTCAGCGTTTTACCCAAGTACATATTCAAATTATTTAATTTATTCTAAATTATATCAGTGACCTGTTTTATCTTTAACATGAAATCACTGATATATACACTGTGAAGTACTATGCAGTGCCAGATATGGCTGTATTAGGTACCCTGAAAAAGCATGACCATGTAAATATTCCAGTGTGTACTCCTGTATAAATTTGCCTGCTGAAATTTATATGTAGAAGTAACTTAATTTCTAAAGAAATTCATTTTTGTGGGTACACTGCAAAAGTTTTGGTTAATTTGACCTGCTAAATGATGGTTTGTCAGAATTGCTCTCCCCTTAAGTCCTGCGGTACATTTTATTTCACAGTTGGAATCTGTCTTCCGAGGTAGGAAACAGCTGAAGTTCACCATAAGTTCTGGATTTCTTATGACTATGACAAAAGAAAGAAATTTGCTGTTTATTGTAGATAGAATCTAAGAGCATGGGGCTGATCCTTGTCTATTATTTTCTGAGCATTGTTTTATTTTCCACATAATTCTTTCTGTAACTCTGCAAATCTTCAACATTACTTTGTAGCAATGAATTGTCGTTGCGCTATTCCAAGGCATTTATTCAGAGACATCTTAGCTAACAACTGAAAAAAAAGACTCAGAGCCAGACTCTCATTTACTTTTATGCAGCTGAAGGCAGATTTCCCTAGTGCTTCGGAGTGAAGGGCTCAAGAAGCTGCATTTGTTTAATGATGTAGCACCATCTTCTGATTAAGTTCTGCATAGCAACAGTATTTAAAGCTAGGGTTTTCTCTTTTCGTGCGGTTTTAACAATGTCTACCACAATTACACCCGATTTCTGATTGGCAAGCAGTTAAAAAACCCAGTTTTTACAAATCCTTTGGCTTAATGTAGGTCAAACAAGGAAATATAGCAAAAAAAAAATAATCATTCTAATGAAGACTAGAAAGTGATGAGGATACCTTATTCTGAGGCTTGTAGAAACAGGGAGGTTTTTTTTCATTAGATATTTTATTTCTTTTTTAGGAAGTAGTACAGGCAGGATTCGGAGCACGCAAGCTTTCCTTCAGGGCTAACTTAGGCCTCTGTGTCTAAACACTTTTGTTCCCCAACTGTTTCAGAAGTGTCTCCATGTAAGTTTTTAATCTCTTCCTTCATTTTAATGACATGTACAAATGCTATAGAAAATATAAGCACAGAATATCTTGGGAGAGGCTCTAGTAAAAGTAGTAAAGCCTGAGTGGTCTCTGTTTTCCTCCTATGCTTTCTTTTCTAGTAACAGCCTATTACTTACAGCAGCGCATTTGTTGCAACTCTTAGGCATAACCTACACAATATTGTTAATTATTAACCTACACAAAATTGTTAATTATTGCAAGTCTTCTCCACCAGATAATACAATGAAAACTCATGACACTGATTTCCTGCTGTGTTCTTTTCCTGTCTTGCAGACTTGGATTCTAGAGAATGTGTCTAAAAACCTAGATCGTCTTTACGCCCAGCACATCTTGAGTGAGTTTTGTATTTCAGACATAGATTTTCTTGGTCTGCCTATTTTCTTTCCTGTTTGATTTTCTTATACGCTGGCACATACCAGCTGAAGTCAATATAAACTTTTCCATTGCAGTACTGTGTTTTATGACCAGATAACAGAAGAATATTGGAGCTAGCGATAATGTCTGTCATGATTCCAAACTCTTTAGAGTAGCTGGCTTATTACAGTCAGCATCAGTTTTGAGTAGATTTATTTTAGCACCTGTGGCTTTCCCTCCAGAATTTTAAAACAAAACAAAACATGATCCCTCTGAAATTATTTGAGCTTCAATAAATAAATGAAATTCTTGATTATGATAAATTACAAATGTATAAATTTGATTGCAAATTCTTGATTTCTAAAGGGAGAAATGTTTGGTTAACTAGATAATATTCTGGCAACTACTTATTAGAAATGCTTAAGCCATTCTTGCCTGTTTCTTCTATTGATTTCAATTCAGCTTTGCAGGAACTTCAGAACCTCAGTCTATATGTGGAAAAAGTGCATGACCTTGTGAATTTCCGAATAAAAAATCTTCAGAAAAAATCTGAAAAGACAGCAATAGAAAAGGCAGATGTGTCAGTGGTTTTAGAATTAAAGGCAGAACAGGTGAGTACAAAAATGGAAATGTAACTGCTTGTTTTTAGAAATATTCCAGATGCTTCAAAGGCAATTAGACTAACTCACACTAGCAAAAGCTAAAAAAACACAGTGAACTACCTGATAGTAAAAATTATATTTCTGCAAATATATATGTGACAAATTGGTGATGAATGATTAAAACACCACAGTAATGAATGTTACATGAATGGTATTATCTTGTACCCAGTAACACAATCTATGTAAGACAACAAAAAACAGTGGAAAAAAGAGAGCCAAGTGTTAGCTGTTGTGAAAACTGCTCTTTTTATCTTGCTTGGCTTTCCTGTTCTCACTCACTTTTCATTTTCTCAACAATCTCTTCTAATACAGGAACAGACTATAACTACTATGAAGAAACATTATGGTGATAAAATGAGGAGTGTGAAAGCCCAGTTAGAAGCTTACCAAGAGCTGATGAATAAGAGGAGCACGCACTGGCAAGTTACTATTAAGGTACCCAGGAAGTACTGTTTTTATGTGACAATAAGAACCACAGGTACTTCTAGAGGTTGTAGAAGCAGCCTGTATAAGTCATCTTTTCTTTTTTGGGAAGGACAGTCAAATGAAGACAAAACAATTTGTGAAATTACTACAGAATCATGCAGATGGTTTTCTGGTGAGGGTTTTCCTCCTTCAGGAGATGATAGTACCTTAAATAGTATGTTTTCAAAACATTTTTCACAGCTTAGACATCTTCACTGCTCTGAGGAGAGCTCAGTGTGGCGTTCCCCCTTACTGTCCATGCTTGCATACTTGAAAATAGCTGGGTTTTGTAATGGAAAAAAATATGTAAAGAAATTCATGGAATATTTAGCGTGGCTAATGCTTGCTGGTGGTGAACAAGGTTTATCCCGTTCCTCCTTCTTTTCCATGGGGAAAAAAAGTTTCTGTATATTCAAGCCTTTCAAGTCTTTGGAATAAAACCACCATCTATACATTCATTGTAAGGCAGTCAGTTGTTTTTTGTGCTAGATCCTCATGTCTTGTCAGCCTGGTCCACTCATTATGATTTCTCAAAATGTATGGCGCAGAAAAAAATATAACAGCCTTTTTGCAAAATGAAGCCTTGGCATAGAAATTCTGATCCTTTTGCCATATTCTACCACTTTCAGAATCTGAGGGAAAGGAACAGACAGCTGAGCCAAGATAAGGAAGAACTTCTTCACCAAATAAATCATCAAACAGAGAAATGGAAAGAAGAAAAGGTACACAAAGCTAGTTTGGTTTTCTTTTGACAGTAAGGCAGCATTCTTATTTCCATTTCTGATGGCTGTAGTTCTCAAGAGCCTGGAGGACCTCGGAATTGCAGTATCTGCTTTTAAATACATATTTCTAGATCAGCGAGGACTGAATTGTCTGTGCTGCTTAGGCACCTGTTTTCTAATTTCAGAGTGCCCAGATAACTTTTGCAAGACTGAGGCCTTTAAACACCGGTGAAAATACCGCACATTGTTTTGTCATACTACATTATTTTTTTCCTGCTAAAAATCATAAGAGTGTAAATTTCTCTCTCATTTCACACTTCCTTTCTTTTGCATAGTTGTAAAATCACACTAAAGCACATTGTTTACTTAAGATTCCATGGTTTATTTTAGAAATAAACAAGAATTTCACCTGATCTGAGCTACTACAGTGCTGCAATGCAACGGATCAACCTAACCAGCAAACTGTCTGGCATGGTAGTCACTAGGAAAAAGGGATGTGCCTAAAATTCCTCAGAGCTTGCAAAATTTTTTTCCAACAATGCAACTTTAGTTTACTAAAGATCTGAGATGACTGCAGGAGTGGCAAAAGAAAGCAGCAAGTGTTAAAAATGAGTAGCTGCTGCAGTGGGTTAAAACCACAATCATTTGTATCCTACCCTTCATCTTGGCTCAGCTGTGCTGCAGCCACATTTTCAGCCGATTTAGTAATTCTTAAACTTTGTTCTGTATTGAGCCATTATCAGATGTTCCTGTTTATGACAGAAAGGAAAGAATTGTTGAGGGTGGGTAGGAGGGTGAAAAATGGGGAAAAAAAGACAATTAGGTCAAAACAAAAACTATATATTGCAAGTTCGTAATAATTCTGTTAATCTCTCTTATTTATGATTGTAACAATTCTGTTACACTAAAAAAGAGAGGGAAGGATCTATTTGATTTGAAGAGATCCTGAGGATATAACACTACTAACTGGCATGCGTACCAAAGGCGGTTAATACCTTTGCAGAGATCTAGGGTCCTGACTTTTTTCACTACGTTAATATAACTGCATGGAGTTTAACAGAGTAAGCCTTCATTTTTACTTCAGTGAGCAGAACAATAAGGTTATGTTTTATTCAGCAGTTATGTGATACTCAAAGTTGTGTAACGTTCAACAAGGATTATGTTTTTAAAGAATAAAATAGATTGCTAGGATTACTATCAATAATCCTTTACTGGTATGCCTAGTACGCTCTCAGCGTTTTACCCAAGTACATATTCAAATTATTTAATTTATTCTAAATTATATCAGTGACCTGTTTTATCTTTAACATGAAATCACTGATATATACACTGTGAAGTACTATGCAGTGCCAGATATGGCTGTATTAGGTACCCTGAAAAAGCATGACCATGTAAATATTCCAGTGTGTACTCCTGTATAAATTTGCCTGCTGAAATTTATATGTAGAAGTAACTTAATTTCTAAAGAAATTCATTTTTGTGGGTACACTGCAAAAGTTTTGGTTAATTTGACCTGCTAAATGATGGTTTGTCAGAATTGCTCTCCCCTTAAGTCCTGCGGTACATTTTATTTCACAGTTGGAATCTGTCTTCCGAGGTAGGAAACAGCTGAAGTTCACCATAAGTTCTGGATTTCTTATGACTATGACAAAAGAAAGAAATTTGCTGTTTATTGTAGATAGAATCTAAGAGCATGGGGCTGATCCTTGTCTATTATTTTCTGAGCATTGTTTTATTTTCCACATAATTCTTTCTGTAACTCTGCAAATCTTCAACATTACTTTGTAGCAATGAATTGTCGTTGCGCTATTCCAAGGCATTTATTCAGAGACATCTTAGCTAACAACTGAAAAAAAAGACTCAGAGCCAGACTCTCATTTACTTTTATGCAGCTGAAGGCAGATTTCCCTAGTGCTTCGGAGTGAAGGGCTCAAGAAGCTGCATTTGTTTAATGATGTAGCACCATCTTCTGATTAAGTTCTGCATAGCAACAGTATTTAAAGCTAGGGTTTTCTCTTTTCGTGCGGTTTTAACAATGTCTACCACAATTACACCCGATTTCTGATTGGCAAGCAGTTAAAAAACCCAGTTTTTACAAATCCTTTGGCTTAATGTAGGTCAAACAAGGAAATATAGCAAAAAAAAAATAATCATTCTAATGAAGACTAGAAAGTGATGAGGATACCTTATTCTGAGGCTTGTAGAAACAGGGAGGTTTTTTTTCATTAGATATTTTATTTCTTTTTTAGGAAGTAGTACAGGCAGGATTCGGAGCACGCAAGCTTTCCTTCAGGGCTAACTTAGGCCTCTGTGTCTAAACACTTTTGTTCCCCAACTGTTTCAGAAGTGTCTCCATGTAAGTTTTTAATCTCTTCCTTCATTTTAATGACATGTACAAATGCTATAGAAAATATAAGCACAGAATATCTTGGGAGAGGCTCTAGTAAAAGTAGTAAAGCCTGAGTGGTCTCTGTTTTCCTCCTATGCTTTCTTTTCTAGTAACAGCCTATTACTTACAGCAGCGCATTTGTTGCAACTCTTAGGCATAACCTACACAATATTGTTAATTATTAACCTACACAAAATTGTTAATTATTGCAAGTCTTCTCCACCAGATAATACAATGAAAACTCATGACACTGATTTCCTGCTGTGTTCTTTTCCTGTCTTGCAGACTTGGATTCTAGAGAATGTGTCTAAAAACCTAGATCGTCTTTACGCCCAGCACATCTTGAGTGAGTTTTGTATTTCAGACATAGATTTTCTTGGTCTGCCTATTTTCTTTCCTGTTTGATTTTCTTATACGCTGGCACATACCAGCTGAAGTCAATATAAACTTTTCCATTGCAGTACTGTGTTTTATGACCAGATAACAGAAGAATATTGGAGCTAGCGATAATGTCTGTCATGATTCCAAACTCTTTAGAGTAGCTGGCTTATTACAGTCAGCATCAGTTTTGAGTAGATTTATTTTAGCACCTGTGGCTTTCCCTCCAGAATTTTAAAACAAAACAAAACATGATCCCTCTGAAATTATTTGAGCTTCAATAAATAAATGAAATTCTTGATTATGATAAATTACAAATGTATAAATTTGATTGCAAATTCTTGATTTCTAAAGGGAGAAATGTTTGGTTAACTAGATAATATTCTGGCAACTACTTATTAGAAATGCTTAAGCCATTCTTGCCTGTTTCTTCTATTGATTTCAATTCAGCTTTGCAGGAACTTCAGAACCTCAGTCTATATGTGGAAAAAGTGCATGACCTTGTGAATTTCCGAATAAAAAATCTTCAGAAAAAATCTGAAAAGACAGCAATAGAAAAGGCAGATGTGTCAGTGGTTTTAGAATTAAAGGCAGAACAGGTGAGTACAAAAATGGAAATGTAACTGCTTGTTTTTAGAAATATTCCAGATGCTTCAAAGGCAATTAGACTAACTCACACTAGCAAAAGCTAAAAAAACACAGTGAACTACCTGATAGTAAAAATTATATTTCTGCAAATATATATGTGACAAATTGGTGATGAATGATTAAAACACCACAGTAATGAATGTTACATGAATGGTATTATCTTGTACCCAGTAACACAATCTATGTATAAATCTTTAATTTTGGAATATAATTGTTATTTAGGAATATGCTATCTCTGCAAATTTGGTTTCTCTTTTTTTCCCTCTCTCAACACTTTTCTAACTCATATTTTCCTGCAAGGATCTATATTTATGGTTCAGATACTGAGAACTGAGTTATAACATGAAAATGCTGTGGCTTTCTCATCTTAATCGGACTCTTTACATAGAAGTTTGTTTATGCAAGTGTCTCAAGAGTACCTAGCTTTTAGACATAGTGTACAGAACATATAATAATATACATCTCTTGTTTCAGTATTTTCCAATTTGGTATGTCTTTAGACCAGAGTTCATTTATTTGCTGACTACAGGGATTTCTAGGAGATGATCAGTGGATCATCTGGGGCTGGGGCAGGACTATAGCCTCTCTAATTGCCCACTGGAAAAGTTCTCCCGTGACTGCTCACTTTATTCTTTCCCAATCCTCAGTGCTGAGTACGGACCACGTTTAGGAACGCATGCTTTGCCATGCGGACAGGCTCCTTAGCTAATCACAGGTGTGCTTCTAGCTTGTGCAAAGGAAAAGTATCCATCTCATGGTGGTGCCTCTTAAATATGCTGGCTTTCCACTCTCATACTGAAATAAGTTTTCAAATATTTCACTGTTTATTGTTATTGCATTGGTTTATATTTGATTTGATGTGATAGTCTGAGAACAACTCCTCTGTAGTATAGGTAATGTCTATTCACTATTTGAAATGGGTGAAGAAAAATATGCACGATAGAAAACACATACAGAGGTGCCGTAACACTGTCTTTCAGATTTTCAAAACATCAGGCCAGTTTAAATGAAGTATTCATTCATGTTATTCAATGGACACTTTATCTGTTTTGATAAGTGTACAATGAATGAGAAATTAACCAAACTGAGTATTCCTGAAGATTTATATGTGACATTTATTTATGATTATTTATTTAAGCTATGATTGTTTCTCTAGTTATAGGATTTTATATTTTAACCATCTCTTATAACTCTTAACTCATCTGCTAATTTTTATCAGCGTTATTCCATTTGGAAGATAATTGTGTAACAGTTACTTTTTTTTCTTACTTTGTCTATAACAGAAATAGTAGATCTAGAGAGTTATGGTCTTCATTTTTAGATTATTTAGTATGCTGTACTATTTACATCATGTGTGAAAAGAATAAAGACTATAGAGGTAGCAATAAAACCTCAGGTATTTTAGAATGCTGTTCAAGGACTATTCCTATAAGCTATCATTTATAAAATTAGGAGAAAGTCCATTACATTTTTAGTTTTAGTTTAGTATGGTTTTGTAGATATTTACATCCTATGTTTTGCACAGTGGTTTCTGAATTCTGATGTTCCTGCTGTTTCAACATTGTCCTCATAGTAATATTAGATAGCATAAAATTGACTACAAGAATCTTTTAAAAATTTCCTTCTCTGAATTATAAGCCTACATTCCAAATGCTGGAACCTTCTTCAACAATCTTTTTGCTTTTCTCCTTTTTGTTCTAGCTCGCTCATTAAAATCTGGGAAATTTCATATGAAAGGAATGAAAGTCTACATCTTCATCTAGCACACATACAAAGGATATTCTTGTTATTTTCTAGGTAGCTGATAAAGAGATGAAGCCTGAATGGTTGGTGGAAAAAGGTTATCTTTGGGAAGCACGGGTCATGCTGCAAAAGATACAAGAATCTTTGGATAAACGAGAGAAAGAAGTCGCTGAGCTTCTACAAAGTGCAAGGAGATATAGCAAAGCATTGAAACCTCAAATCACAATGCAAATATTCTTGAAAACTCTTGTCCAGAGGGTAAGTAGTCAGTCATTACAAAGAGGGAAAATGATTTGCCGGGTTTTCTCAAAGTCCACTTATTACTTACTATTATCATTATTATTATCTTAAAAAATAGGAAAACTTGTGATGTGTTTACATTGATTTAAAGGCTATAGTCAATAAAAACCTATTTAAACCAATCATCACATTCCTTAATTGGCATTATTTTAAAAGACAAATTAGTGAAGCATGAGAGTGGCATTGTGAAAAAATACATGTTTTGCTGTCCTTATAGTTGATTTCTGAACCACATGAACTGTAAGCAGATGTACCAGCTTTGCAAGAAATATGATCTAATTTTTGATCCATGGCAGGTTCACAATATATACTGTGATGTCCCCGAGGCACAGCAGTACCTCCATCAGCTTATCAGGAAGAACAAGGATGAAAGGGCTGATCGGAAAGAAGCCTTTAATAATGCTCAGGCTGACATTCTCTCCTATAAAGTGTTTTATGGAAATGAACCTATGGATGACAAAAGGTATATTGGATAGTTAATAAAGCAATAATAGAAATAATGCAGAAAAGTAATGGGTTGTTTTCACACAGAGAAAATACATTTTAATAAATGCTGCTGTAAGTTCCATGCATAGTTATGAGTAAAAACCAAAATAGAGTCTACCTTTATTGCAAGGAAAAAAAAAAGTGAGGGAACTTAGAAGAAAAAAGCAAAAGAGCAGCAAACTATCTCAGCTTAACTGGCTTATACAAGTTTTATCCTATGTATTATAAAATATACTAAAATACGCTTCTTTGGCATGCCTGTGCTACAATGTCAGCATCTCTTTCTTCCTTCATTTTTACGGGATGCTTCTTCCTCTAATTGCATCTTTCTTGTGGTTTAAGTAGCTTGTTCCTAAAAAACTCTGTTTTTTTGAATGACAGGACACAGGTCTTGACGAAGCTTTTCAGAAATCTTGGGAGAGCCAAGTCTGAATTAGAGTATGTTGAAACAGAGGAGATTGTGTTTGATTGTATCCAGACAGGGGAAATCCCCAACTGGATTAAAAAGGATTGTCTTTATGTAGCCTTGACAGGTGAGAAACCGTCTTGTCAATTCAGAGAAGCTTAATTATCCTGAACCTCCTGACTTTTGAGTATAAGGAATCAGTGTAGCAGCAAAAGGCATTTAGATTCCTGCTTGTCTTTTGACTGAGAGAATAGGCAGCTCTGCCACAAAGTACCTCATGACGCAGCTACAATTATGTGCATTTTAATGAACTGATAAATGAATTTTAAGACTGAGCCGTGATTTGTTAACTCATGGCTTCTACATTTACTCCCTCCTGTGCTTTTTTATTTGGTATCTTTGTCATTTTCAAAAATAGAAGAAATATTTTGTACCTCATTTCTGGACACCGCAGAGGGTATCCAAGATAGATAGACCCAGAATACGCCTCGGTTTGGCAAGCAATGCACTGAATCCAACAGTAAATAGATCCGCAGGATTTGGAGAGAGGCAACCCCAAACTGTATGAAAATTCTTCAATATATATATTGTCTCAGTTAAATAATTAATTAATTTAATCATTCTGCCCTTCTGAGAGGAGTAGCAGGAAATCCTTTTCAAATATTTGGCTTGCTTGTTTTTTTGATTCTGCAACACAAAACATGTGGCTTTGGTAGGCTGTGCAGGGAAAGGAGGAGGACTGTGAACTTCTGCTTGAAGGAATTATCATTTTTAACTTCAGAAAGTTACTATGTTAAAATAAAGTACTTGCCTTATATAACTATACACTTACTGGAAACCCCCAGCGGACCCAGGAAAAGATATATACTCTGCAAAGACAAGCCACCTGCCAGACGAAGTCATGAAGAAGTTTAAATCACAAATCAAGGTAAAATACTACAACGACATCTGACATGATTTTAAGGAAGCTATTAAAAAATGCCTTTCTTTTCCTATCTGTTCTTAAGGGATTTGAGATTTGCTCTGGATTATATCCTCTCATGTGTCTACATGTGTGCCTGTTTCCAAAAAGTAGATCTCAATAGGAATTACGTATGGAGGTTCTACAGTTATACTTTATCCCAGCCACTACAAAAGTATTTGCATTAAGAAAAATACAGCCTTGCTAATTAGCAAATTATAAATTTGTATCATTTTGTGTATTTAAAGATTCTAATGTTCTGTTTGTAAATCTCTATATGCATTTTTTTACACATGATGGCCTTTGACGCCTCTTACAAGTCTCTACTTGGTAAAGTGTTCATGTATCTAAAGATTTGGGAGGCATAGATTTCGTGCTTAAGCTTACAAATGAAATTTCATCTCATCTCTTTGCATTAAAGAGTAAGGCAGACAAGAAATAGCTAGTTGATCTGAGTTTCTGCTGCAGACAGTGACCCAAAGAAGTACTTAAGCAATGCAATGAGAGCCGCAGTGCAGTGAGGCCCTTAACATGGTTTTACTCTTGGATCTCAAAGCAAATAGCCCCAAAATTGCCTGAAATCCTTATCTCCCCCTACACACACATTAGCACAACAGCTGTCATGCTGAGTTAATGCACAGAAACTCTCCACATTACTTACTAATTGTAAGTAATGAACATGAACTGTAACATATTTACATTGGCAATTATTAATAATGTAACTGATATTTTTTAGGCTGCTAATGAAACAAAGGAACAGTAAAAGAGATACCAGCCCTGGAGCAAGGTCCCTATTTTAGAGGTGGACACCAGGTAGGTAGCCTGGAAAGAAGAGGTGCTTTCCTCTGTACTTCTGGAGTGGAAACTGGATTGGAAGAAATACAAGCCTGTTCCTTACTACAGCAACTACTTACTGCTACTGCTTAACTGCCAGCAAAGGTCATATAGCCATTTAAGCATTTTGAAAATTATACTCACTTTAATAAATGATTTGAAGGCATCTTAAAAATGATAGCACTGTGATGACCTGAAAGAGTTCCTGACTAACAAAGGCGTCCAGGATTTTGAGTCAAACTTGCAATAGATCTGCTTGCAATTGGATAGGATATATTTTTAGACAGCTAACTTTAGCTGTCTGAAAATGGGCATTTGGGCTGCCTTTACAAGCAATATATAGATAGAGGTGGCTCCAGAGGGAAATTTCTCCATGTGAAGCATCTCTCCAAGGTAGACAGCAGGAACAGCTCTGTCCCATGGAAAGAGGGCATTGGAGGGAGTCACTGGAAACCGTAGTTAATGTTTCAACAGTTAATGCTAAGCAGGGTCTGTCTCAAAGAAACGGGTTATAAAAATTGATTTTTTGTTTATTTGTTTAAATAAAAGTTTCACTCTTTTATTCAAATGTTGTGAACAAAACAGAAGATACCTGTACTTAAAAAGGAAGTTTATGTTAATTTTTAGAGGTGTGGATAATAAATGCCTGACTGGCTGTAACGTTTGGCCTGGTAGACAGCCATCACATATCAAATGCATGCAGGTCAATCCCAAACAAGTAACTTTTTTTTGTCTTTGCCTCTTAAAAGTAGATACGTGGAGAGAATACTGATTTTGTGCTGTAAATGGTAAAATAAAGTCAGTATATCACTATGGACTACGTTATATCTGGCAGATCATGTTACTGTAATACTGCATAATTTGTACGTGGGGTGGAATAAAAGCAGATCGTGCATACACCGGCAGTCGTTTTTTGCCAGTCAGTCTGTTGCTTCTCTGTATTGATCACTCTAGTAATCAGACTCTGAGGCACTAATGCTGCGGAAACGTACATGGATTGCTAGCTCCCCAGAAGGGCACAGCACAGAAATATGCAGGATTCAGTTGAAGGAGAAAGAAAAGAAGGAATGTACAAAAAAAGGTCAAAGAGACTCTCCTAGTCTTGTTAGGATAACTGAAGCCTTAAATTAAGCATTTTCTTTTCTTTTATAGATGAGGAACCATCCTTGTTAAAACCAAAGCTCTAACTAGCTCAGTATCCAGTAAACTTCTGCAATTTTCTGTTTAGTTCCTTCCAATCTCCTGGTTGAATCCTACATGAACCTGGCAGTTTTCTCCTATTCATGTTATTGAGCTGTTCTAAAATCTCTTTTGCTGACACTTCAGTTTGAGAAAATTCCTCAAACTTGCCATTCACAGACAGTTTCCAGTCTGACAGCCTTCTTAACCTCATTTACAGTGAAGTTATGCAAAGAAATAAGTTGTTGGTTCCACGAAGGACTAATTTTTTCTTTTACTCTTTGGCCAATTTTGATCAGGGTTAAACCAATTTTGTAGTCTGTAGCTGCGACAGCCCTTGTGTCTTTCTCTAAATATGGGCTATAAATAAGCTGTTTGGTTTATTTAGGAGGTAGGATGAATGTGAAATTTCATTTTAAAAAAGAGCTAGAACTTAGACCAAGGATACTAAGCTAGATATGAAGTATAGAGTTAGGTACACTCCTCAAACACAACAGCAAACCACTTTGGAAGAAGACATATTTTGAGTCCAGCCTTTTTGATTTCCATCATCCAATATCTTCATTTAATTTTTTCTGTTGACAAGGAGAATATGGGCTTAGGCATAATTACTCCATATCTATCTAAATTAGGAAAGTAGGAAAGTTGAATACTTTGAAATTTGAAACTTATGTGGAAAAATAAGTCTTCAGGGGGATGTTTCTTGTTTAAAGAATATCTTTGTCATATATCAGATAATGATATTTGCCTCCCTAGCTTTCTCCTTGATGATTTGGGCCTCTGAGCAATGTTCCATTGGGAGTCGAAGCCAGAGCTTATATAGCATTGTTATCAGTTTTGTTTGGTATGATATATAGCTCCTCAGAATATGTTAAACTTCTAGGCCTAACATTTCTAATGTTGAAATTGTTTCATTGTATTTGAAGTGCATATGTTTTCTTTGCCAGAGTCTGTGCTAGACAGTGACTTTATTGGCAGCTGCAATTCCATCATAGGTACTTTACAAACAAAGCAAAAGGTGAATTACTTTGAACAAATTCTGAACAGTAATATGGTCTATAAACTACAATAAGGAAGGGCAACCACTGAAATTCATTGTTATATAGTTTAATTCTTTCTCTTAAGTGCCAGTCAACAGTTAAAAGAAACATAAAATTGAAAGCTAAAAGCATTTACCCTAGAAAAACAACAGTAGAAGAGCTAATATACTTCAAGGTTTGGACTTTTAGCACTTTATTGTGTATTTTAAAGTCCTGCGTAATAGCATTTTGGCAGTAGTTGACCAAAGGCTCTGTTGTGTAGCATTGATAAACAAGCCAGTAAAACGAGACCAAAGTCCGGAGGATTAGCTCCAACACAGTATAAAAGGTATAACTGCTTAATATATTTTAAATTAAATTAATTATTTGAATTATTTTTAAATATTCTGAATAATCTGAAATGTTCTGAAAATGCTGGACTTTGCTCACTGAAGTCCTAATATTATGTTTCACAAGGGCAATATATTTGTTCATTATATATCATATCATATGCTAGTTCACTCTGTTATAGGTTGGACAGTTACAAACTTCCATCACAGAAGTCAAAATCAGTTTACTTTCTGGGACATTTTTGTCTGTAGAGGGTTCATAATAGCTCAGGTAATCTTTAGGAGGACGGAGTGTGGTTTTAGAGCCCGAGAGTGGGGCTACTCACACACTGTGAAAAAAATGCATTTCCATCAGCTACAGGAAGGCAATGACAAGTGCTGGTGAAAACCAGTGCTCTAGAGAAAGTTGTCCTCTTCTCCTTGCCAATAAATGGCACTCACATTCCTACAGCGAGCCCACAGTGACTGCAACTGCATGGATGTTTGCTCTAATAAAAGGTGTCACCTTTTCCTACAAACCTTGCTCCTCTTACAGCTTTAAAGAGCACAGCAACTACAAGAACCACTAATAGCTATGGTTTGCTTCCTCTTAGGATCCTGCTGTTTCTCAGTATAGCCAGTACATTTTCAATCCAAAGAAGTCTTACCTCTCCTTATGTAAGGTATTCCTTAATTTCCTGCACCTGTTCTATCTCATTTCTAAGCTATTTATCAAAACTTCTCTATATGAAATGGAAAACATTCCAATTTTTTCTAGTAAAGAAGTAACCCTATTTCCTCCTCTACAGTACTGCACTTTACGAAATGAAGTATATACCTTTATGTCTCTGTTCTTATTTCTGATGTGTTTTGAAGCACGTGGTTCAAAATCAGCTCTATCCTGCACCCACTTAGGCAGCTTTTCATTCCAGATTCTATGCAGAACTTTTGTGGATAATATCTCAATTATACTGGACTTTTCAACAAAAGTCCACTTGTCTGAGCTACACCCAGCATACTTTCTGACCTGACAAAGTGCTGCATAGGCTTGTTGGCCAAAAGCAGTGGTATCCACGGGAGTGAGAATGTGAATACAACCCTTATAAGAGCTATTAGAGGCACAAATGGTGGTCTCTCTCCTGCCAATCAGCATCAACCGAGAATGCAGCCAATGTTCTGAAAAAATTTCAATTTTCAATTGAAATTTCAATTATGATTGGACCTATGTTCTCTCTTCTGTTCTCTGCCTATTCTCGTATATCTTCATTGTATCTTACAAGAGCATAATTGACAACTTTTCTTTTCAGACTTGCATTATTGCCCTTTTCTTTCATTGGGAGTGCATTTTTCCAATAAATCAAGCCAGTTAGAAACAGGAAAATTGTACCATTTTCATTAAAAAGGTGAAAATTGTTCTGAGAAATGTCAAGTGTCAAAAGAAATAATCAACAGATGTGAGTGAAATGCCAAAGCTTTCATGCAAAATTGCAAGCTATCAAACACAGAAGGCAAAACATATTTATTAAATCATTCATAGGAAAGTGTTCTTATCCTTGGACTTAGAACAGAAAGAAGCTTTTTTCCCTTTACCCCATTCAAAACACTGCTACCACTAATTTCAGGGGTTATCTAAGGAGGTGATTATTACAGTGCCAAGAACATCAGAGTCAAAGTTTGTGAGAAATGCGTATTTCAGAAAATATTGAAGCTTGTAGCTAAGATAAAGCCTGAAGATTTTTTTCACTCTGTCCCAACTTCAGTTATATCATTCAGTGGTTGTTTTGAAGTGCCACCTCTTGTACCAAAGTAAGTATTTCAACTCTTCATCCTTTTCCTTTTTTAACTAAAGAACAAGGTTGAAGCAGTCAAAGTTATGAAGAAAGACTTGAAAACATGAACTGGGAAGCCGTAGTTCAAACCAGTTAGAGAACAAATGAAAATTCCCTAGGTTGTTGAAGATGATAATACTAAGATGCTGGAAAAAAAGTATGTTTAAGTTTCAATACCAAAGGTGCATTCTTAGGGTTTATTACAGCTGCCAGGCATAGGTAGGTAGAGCTGCCAGTGGTTTGTTTGCAGTGGGCAACTGAATCAAGTCCCTGACATGACTGTCTGTACGCTAAACTGAACACATGTTTTAGTCCAGCACTCACCCGGCATTCAGAAAGTATTATTAACAATCTTTCATTTGTCTTTTATGGCATGTCTGTTCATTATGTGCTTCTGGATTTGAAATACCTACCCAAAAAAAGAACACTCTCTACCTGCCAAGCATACCTCTGTCAGAGTGCTTTTATTAAAACAAGTTAATCAGTACGTTTTAAATATATACTGCTGGGAACATAATGTGTGCTCTTGAACGCCACTATTGTATTTAGTGCCTGCTCCAGTTGGGCTGTTTGTCCACTTTTCTACAGTAAGACCATTGGAAGGGAATGCAAGATAAAAGAAACAAAGAGATAGCAGTCACTAAAATATAGGTGCATTATGGTGATGATACTGTAGAGAAAAACAACAGGAGTGGGGGTGGGTAAGAGGAGGGTTGTTGTCAGTGTTTAGTAATGGACACATCACTCTTTAGGATGCAGGACCGCTAACCATCAGTTCAAGCATTTGGCAGGTATGGGCCAGTGTTGGTCCACCACAGAAGGAGGAATAATCTAAATATTTGCAAAACTATATATGAACTACATACTACTGT